CGAATTGTTTACGGTTTAATAGGCAACTTTCAAAACACTTTAGAGTTTTTTCGTTTATACGATAATATTTAAGTTTTTGCAGTAAGATAGTCTGATCTATTGTATGAAAAGCCTTGGTTAGGTAATTAAAGATACCTAGTGTGTATTGGGAATTTTCAGAAGATTTTGAAATTTCGCGTACAAATTGAATGATTGCATGTTCCGTGGAGTTGTTTTTAAAGCCAATTTTGTTGCTATATAGTAGGTTTTTTTATTGAATGTAATCATAGACTCTATTATAAGTAATTCATTTTTATTTTTTCGAAATATAGGTAAAAAAGAAATGGGTCGGTAGTTGCTAATAATAGCCCTATCGCCTTCTTTAAAAATTAGGGTAATTTTTGGAATTTTTAGTTTCCTCCCCCTTGTACGAACTTTTATGGTTTCAAAAACCCTCCTCTCCTCTGCGTACGAACGCATTTTTTTATTTTTCAAAATGATCTCAATTTCTTTTTTTTCTCCTCACTATTTAAAAAGAAATTGTAAAATTCCTTGATCAATCGACGCTCTAAAAACTTTAAAGAGAATATCTTTTAATTGTTCAAAACAGTTTAGAATTATATTACCATTAATGTCATCTGCTCCCGTAGCTTTATTTTTTTTTCAGAGTTCTAAATTCTATTTTAAATTCTTCAATTGATAATTTAGAAGACAACTACCCAGATGTAATGCTGTCATTCATCGGTACTAGAAAATCACTAAATATAGCCTGTGTCATTGGCCAGTTCAGGACCAATTTTAACATAAAAATTATTCAACTCGCAAGCCATTTCTTTTTGTTCATAGATGATTCTGTTATCAACCTTGATAATCTGGGAAAGGAAACCTGAGCAATCTTTTTGTTTTCTGCTTATTTCTTTTATTATTTCCCATGTACGTTTAGAGTTATTTTTATACTTATCAATTAAGCTAGAGTAGTAACTTTTTTGTACAATTTTTTTCTAGCTTTTTCAAACTAATGTTTAAAATCTTTGTATATTTTTTCATTTTCTGGGGATTTTGTTTTTAAATACTTTATATGCAGTTTCTGCTTGATCTTCGATGATTTTCTAAAATTTTTGGTAATCCAGGAATAGAATGTTTTTTTTGGATTAATTGTCTTTTCCATGAATAGAAAATTTGCATCGTAGATAGAATAGAATGCGTTGAAGAAATTATCATTTATAGAGTTTGCATCATCGTTAAAGTTTATATTTTTCTAATTGAGCAATGATAGCTGCTCTTTAAACTGATTAATATTGTCCTTGTTAATATGACGCAGTCTAATTTTTTTGCTTGTCTTAATCATAGTTTCGGGGTTACAGTTAAATGTTAAGAATATAGGGAAGTAATTGGAAATATCAGTTTTTAAAATACATTTTTGTATCTGTTGTAATAATAATCGATAAGAGTAGTTGTGTTTATTGATACTCTTGTCGGTCGATTAATTAAAGGAACCGCTCCTAATTCAAATATTGCGTCATAAAACTTTTTAACCTTAGAATCCTCACAATAAGAAAAAGTATTCATGTTGAAGTCTCCAATAACAAAAACTTTTTTTTTTCTTTAGTGGTTTTTTTGAATATGTTTTGTTCAAAAAAAATGCTCAAGTTTTTGCCCAGACCATTAGGTGGTCGATAACAGCAGCTTAATAGAACACCTTAATAGTTTTTTGTTTGATTCTTTACAATTTCAATCGATAAAACTTCTTCATCATCGTCAGAAACACTCAAATCATTCTTAGGTAATGCATTATATTCTTTTTCACGTAAATAAAAGTTGCACCGCCGGGTTTATTTGTTTGCCTTTCTTGAGATATTAATTTAAAATGAGGAAATTTAAAATCTGAACTATTTTTAGGTCATTTATAGTTATCCATGTTTCTGTTAAGCAAAGTATACCAAAAATATTTTTAGTTTCTTCTAATAAATTAAATAGATTTTCAAAATTGCGATTTAAGCTTCTAATATTTACGTAAAGGATTTTAATTTTATCCCTTGCTTTTACATTATTCTTCAAAAGAAACTCTGCTAATTCACTTGGATAATAATATGAACAATCACTAAGATAATAATATGAACAAATCACAATAATAGTTAGGGCTGGGATCTGGAAATTCAGTTGAGATTTTATCTTCAGTTAGGATGTCTTCTCAGGACTTTTCAATGATTCTATCATTGTGCCGATTTAATTATCCATGGTACCGATTCAATACTCCATTGTACCAACCGAGGAAGCTACTTCTTATATTGGCTACAACTCTCTCTCAACTCTGTTACTCCAAAACACTTTTCAACCTTGACGAACAAAGCCGCTGCGCGGAGAAACAGGTTAATATAGTGTTAATATACATAAAACATATAGTATATTTTGTAATTAATTTTTTTTTAATACATTAAAAAAGTTAATAGCTTCCGAATTTAACTGAATATTTAATGAAATCTTGTTACCGAATTTTACTAAAAGCCGAATTTCTATTTTAACTTTGTCACCGAAGTCAAAGACGAAGTCAACTCCGCCTTTTAGTAATCTTTGTAATCTGAATTTTAATTAACCTTTGCCGGTCCTAATTCTTCTAGAGCCTTAGAACGGATTTGAACCTCAAACCTCTTGATTATGAGTCAAGTGTTGTTTCACTTGCCTTCTGCCGTTAGCTAGATAGCAGATAATATGTTTAGCCATTCAGTTAACTGTTCTTCTTCAATTGTTCAATTCAATTGTTTGCATTGAATTATTTGCATGTCACACTTTTTGTAAACAGCATAAAATGATAAAATTTAATTTAGAAATAGATAAAAATTAAATTTTAGAAATTTTATGCTTCCTTTGGAGAAACGAATATATTTTGTTTCTATTTTTGAGATACAGCAACAACTTCCTCATTACCCATCTTTAAATTATCTTAATTTTCCATGATTAACAATTTCCATGATTAACAATTTCCATGATTAACGGTTTCCATGACAACAGTATAAATCATTTTAACTACTGTAATTTATCAAACATAATCTTCGAACAAATTTTTTAATGAAAAGTGATTCAATATTTTATAGAAATTTAAACTGCACGTAAAAAGTCACCAAGCTGATAAATGTTTTAAAAGAGGTTTATCTTCTCGAAAATTGGAATAACAATATTTGAATCAATATTTTATTTTCATAATCATTGTTTATTAGATTCAGTTTATTGATTTACTGCTGAAAATTCAACACCGACTCAGTCCGGAACTTCAAGATAATCGATGCAAAGGCTGATCTACAAAGATTTATGCCTGAAGAATTTCGTAAAAAGCAAACGACAGTTCCTGAGTGAAGCAACTGGAGAAAAGCGAAAAAACAAGCGTGCATTATGTTCCACTTCCTCCAAGCTTGCAACATTTCTGTAGTTTATTCAGTGAAAAATTTGTCACAGTTCAGCCTGAACTGAATCGGTACAATGGAGTATTGAATCGGTACCATGGATTATTAAATCGGCACAATGATAAAATCATTGAAAAGTCCTGACAAGACATCCTAATTGAAGATAAAACCATTCTAGACAGCATCATGCAGGGGTTATGGTTTGGGCCAGGATCTGCACTGACTTATTTAAAACTCCTTTAGTTTTCGTTCCAGAGAGATAAATATTAACTCAGAAGTTTATATTGCATATTTAGTAAGCATTTGCTGGTCCAAGAAAAAATTCAAGCAAAAACAATGGGCTTTTCAATAGGGTTCTGCTCCAGCCCATCATGCTAAGAAAACCGTCACGTTATTCTAAGATGACATTCCTCATGTTTGGACTCTAGATATGTAGTCATTTATCACCTGATCATAATCCAATGATTTTTACATTTCGTAAGTGACAAAGTAAGTCAAAGAAAATCTATCAAAATGTTAAAATAAAATTTATTTACAAAATCTAAATCAATTCTTCCTAAAAGAAGAATTGATATGACCAAAATATGACCAAGATATGAAGAAGAATTGATATGACCAAGATATGGGCTAAATTTGACAAGAATATGTTGCGACTAGTGAGCACCTGAAGTCTGTCATTTCATAAGAAGCTGGTTATTTTGAACAAAAATTGTTTTTTAATACTCCTCTGTGTTCAGTTTATTTTAGTTATTATTTCGTTTCTATGTTCAGTTTAATTTATTTCAATTGAACGCTGTATTTCGAAAACGTGACGAGTCACACTTTTTTCAAAAGTGAGGTTATTTGAAAAAAAATTCTTTTAAGGAAAAGTTGATGCTTCGGATGAAATTGTTTTTCTGATGTAAGATGTAAACACTTATTACTTTATATAAGATACAAAAAAAACTACAACTAATTACAACTTATTAGAACAATATATTATGACGACTTTCTACAGGTTACTGCGACTAATTTATAAAAACTTTAAAAAAAGGTAAAACTAAAATATATAATCAGCATAAAATTATTAACCAAATCTTATCAGTAGGATTTTCAAGCTGATAAAAAAGACTACTTCCATTCTCTATACTAAAAATATTTTGAAGTTGAAACATTTCTTAAAAATATAAATCGAATATTCAATATTAACCAAAGCATTTTTGAAAAGTATAACAATAAAAAAGATAACTATGAAATGCAGTCATAGTAAAGTGGTTAAAATGCTTTCTTCAGAATCAAGAGTGCGGCCGTGGCGCAGTGGTTACAGCGCTTGCTTTATAAGCAGGAGATCCAGGTTCGAAACGAGCTCTGGACATATTTTCGCGTCACAGTAAGGAAGGAGGCGTGAACTTCCTGGTTAAATGCACTTCCGCGGTGCTTTGTGACAAGACCGTTAGGTCTTCTTGGGGCACCTAAATAACAAACAAAACAAAACAAAAAGGTTCAAGGTTTGAAGGCTGCTTTAGCCATATATGTCTTATTTGTAAGACAGCGTAAACTATGCAGTTATAGCTCTTCTGGTGTGCTTTGTGACAAAACCGTTTTTTCTTCTTGGACTATTAACAAAATAACAGAAAATTCTTATTATGTTATTGTAATTATAATATATTACATATAGTATCTATAATATACTATACATTCTAATCATAAACTATACATATGTTTGAATTCAATTGCTGAGATAAAAACCCGTCCATTTTGTAATTATCTCAACTTCTTTTTAAATAGAAAGTTTTTTAAGAAGAAGCGCTTCGTATAACTTATGTTTGAACTTTCATTTACTTACGTAGTGTTCCGCTAATTATCTAATCAGTAAACATGTGTTTTTGTTTTTGCTTTTATACCTGTTTTTTCTATTTGCGTAAACTTTGATGAGAATTTTAATTAACGCACAATTGATAATATATTTTGATATTACTTTCTTTTGATGTCTATATTTATTATTGTTACAACAAGCGCTGCAAACATGCACATGATACCACCCCAAGCAAATGCGTAACTCCACTTTAACGAATAATAGTTGCTGTCATATTGAGTTGCATAGATTGATAAACCAACAAGAGCTAAAATTACTATTTAAAAAAAAAAAAATTATAAAACTGATTTCTTAAAAAAAAATGTTACCAGTAGACCATATAACTTACATATTGCAGTTTGCATAACAGCAAGCCATTTTTCGGTCTTGTTTATATCATTTTTGCAAATGACATATATAGATACAAAAATGCTGATCAAGTGGACTACTAACGAAGCATACAAAAAGATTTTTACTGGGAGAAACTCACCTAGATAAACAAAAGTATGGCAATAATACATAATAAACAAATAAAACAATCCACTTTGTAAATCAATTTTGGGTGCGACGAGAGTTATATTTAGTATAAACATTTAATTAATATTTAATAAAACTGTAAATTGTAAACTTTTCAACCTTAAAAAACAAAAACAAAGATATACAACGTTTACCCATACAACTAACAATTAGAAGTAAACCATTTTTGAAAGTTAACTTCATGCATAAGATTGATTGTCCTAGCCATTAAAAATCTAATTGAAATTACAACCTATCTAAAATCAACCAAACTACTCTTCATCTTTTTTTATTTATTAATTTTTATTTATATACTTTTTTTATTATCACCTATTTAATCATTTAATTGTTTTTATTTTTTCAGCAGAGATGGGTATGATGGGTTTTTATTTTTTACACACATAATGCAAGTGAAATATGAGACTTTTACTTTTTGCTTACTTGATGTATGTTATAGAAAGACTTTGCTAAAATTAATTTTTTTTTTTACTTGAAAAAATGTTTTTAAAAAAAACCATTCAACTAAACGCGCATTAAATGAAATAAAAAACCAAACTAGAAATGGTTTTGATAATATTAACTTATTACCTTTTGATAATAACAACTTACTTTTATTTTAATATTGATAACTTATTTAGCTTTTGATAATAACAACTTATTTATCTTTTGATAATAATAACTTATTATCAAAACCGTAAGTAGGAACAATTTATTGAATTATCAAAAGCATTTAATCGATATTCGAAAATGTGTAGAATTTCGGTCAATTTTTGGTTCTCTCTTGCTTTAATTTATTTAAATGATTTTAAAAATGCATCAGAAGAGAAAAATTCAATAATATTTACTAACGTGAACTTTGAAGTAAAGAGAGTCAATGACTGGTTTAAAACAAATAAACTCTCACCGAATGTGGATAAAACAAAGTATTCTTTATTCTAGGCTGTAAATTTTGTCCAATGTTCAGTGTTCTAATGAAATGCCGAGTCATTTATGCTGTCTCGATGACACAATAAACACGGATGTTTGGTGTATCCACCTTAGAGAACACTAGGCATCTTAAAATCTTCACGCACATCTTAAAATCTTCACGCACATCTTAAAATCTTCACGCACATCTTAAAATCTTCACGCACATCTTAAAATCTTCACGCACATCTTAAAATCTTCACGCACATCTTAGAAGCCTTTCCATAGTTTTCCTTATGTACAAAGTGTGCGACAAAAATGAAAGTGTACCTCAGTCAGACTGGCAAGTAACTTGTAGTTTTATCAAAAAAGTGAAACAGCTTTGACAGACACTTGTGCATAGCGTAGATTTTTGTATACGCTGCTTGGCTGCTACAGTTAAATTACTAGCAGGATGTAAATTTCTCAGCCTCAGACATAACCACGAGAAATCAGATTTGTCTTTATTCAACCCTAAATCTCTAATCAAGCAATCAACTTCTTGGTAATTAGGAAAATATAAGTTACTGTTGTTACTCACACTGGTCACCGTCACTGTTGTAGTTTAAATTACTATTTTCCCACAGTGCTCCATGGAGTGAAGGGTTTAGAATAAGCGTCATTTGAGGCAATTAAGCAATGAAAAAAGATATGCTAGGAAACACTAAGCTTTTAAAACTTTTATATTTCATTAAAACATCCACCATATATGGTGGATATTTTAAAATATAAAATTTCCAAGAGTTTTGTGTTTCCTACCATACTTTCTTCCATTGCATCTACAACTGCTACTTTTTGGTAGAAAAGTAGTCGTTTAATGATTTGTAAACCATCCTCAGATCGCATAAATGGCAAAGAACATGAATTTTTTGCTGCCACAAAACCAATTTTCCAGCGTTAATCTACAGAACCCAGAATGCTTTGCTACATATATAGCAATGTAACCAGATAGGATGCTGTCCATCGCAATATAATACCGTATATATATATATATATATATATACATATATATATATATATATATATATATATATATATATATATATATATATATATATATATATATATATATATATATATATATATATATATATATATATATATATATATATATATGCATATATGTATATATATATGTATATATATATATGTATATATATATGTATATATATATATATATATATATATATATATATATATATATATATATATATATATATATATATATATATATATATATATATATATATATATATATATATATATATATATTAGTGTTGTTATCGACTTCGACTAAATCGGCTAAAAGTTGACTGTCGAAAGTCAAAATTAGTCGACTTTGAAAAATCTAATAGTCAATTTAATTGACTAAGGACTTCCTACTAATCGACTTAAAGTTGATATATCGGGTAGACACAGAAAAATCCGGTCAACTTTAAATTGAGATTTCTCTAAAACCACAAATGTTTTTTATTTCTTTTGTTTTTTAATTAAATGTTACTTCTTTATATTTAATTAAATGTTACTTCCTTATATTTAATTAAATGTTACTTCCTTATATTTAATTAAATGTTACTTCCTTATATTTAATTAAATGTTACTTCCTTATATTTAATTGTGTTGATAATTTTTGATTACAAATCAATGATTTGCAAAATGTTTTGGAGACAAATTGAGGTGCGTAAAAAAGTTGTCAATTTTTATGTTGCGAAAACCCATCGACATATTGCTTGATTGATAAACGTACAAATGTCCTAAAATCTTAAGTCATTGATATTATAAAAAAAGTTTAAGACTACTCAAAGCTTTAAAATAAAACCTGGAAGTGGAAGAAAGAAAAATTTCCAAAAATCAAAAAAGGTAAAGTTGGTTTAATGAGTTCGATACGCAAAGAAGTTGTTTAAAATAATAGCGGATAAAAGTATGTGCATAATTGAAGACTACGAAACATATTGCAAGGCGGATTTTTCACAACTTCCTGGTCAACAATTTTACTAGGAGAAAAAAGATAAAATGTCGATGATCAATTTAAACATATTTGAAAATAAAAATTTGCATCCAAGGCTTTGTGTGGCAAGCAATTCGTAGCTGTGATATACAGTCCTCTTGTTTTGTCACTAAGAAGACCTTGACTGCCAATCTCTACATCAAAGAATGCCTCTATAAAAGACTTTTTCCATTTCTGAAATAACACAAATGCTGGAGTCTCTTTTGGCCAGATCTTGCTGTTCTCACTAATCTAAAAAAGATCTACAGTGGTGAAAAGATAATAATGTGAAAATTATTCCTAAAGATGCAAATCCTCCAAATCACCCTGAAGAGCGCAAGATTAAAGATTTTTGGGGAATAGCTGAATAAGTTTTCTTTTTGACAGGTTGAGTAACAAAAAATAAAAAGGACTTCCAAAAAAAGTTGATTAATGCCACCAATAAGGTGGAAAAAAAAATCTGCAAAATGATGACTTCAACTTGCTATAAATTTTGATCTCTTGCCAAACAGCCCATCACTCTCCTTAAAATTAAATTGAAACCCAATTGATGTAAGCACATTTCATATAAAAAAAACTTGAAATAATAGGCACTTATGGTTTTAGAGAAATCTCAATTTAAAGTTGACCGGATTTTTCCGCATATACCCGATAGTCAAATAAAATTTTTAAAATACTTATACCTTTTCATTCGATGTAACTTTTTAATCTTTAATTTTTGTTAGTTCATTTAGTAACAATAGTATGTACTATTATAACTATGAGAGGTTGTTCACAAATAATATCACACAATTTTTGACCGTTTTAGACCCCTCCCTACCCCCACCCCTTTCTCGTCACAACATCGTAACTCTTTAATTACAAGTTCCGTATGGAGTTATCGCAAACCACTGACTCCTCCCCCCTCCCATCCTACAGCGTAACGCAGTTTATGGACTATCCCTAAATACTTTTATACAGAACTGCTCCAAGCTGGCTTGGGGCTGTAGACCAAAATTAAGTTGTGTGACTCCAAAATTTAAATGTCATTAATATATATATATATATATATATATATATATATATATATATGTATATATATATATATATATATATATATATATATATATATATATATATATATATATATATATATATATATATATATATATATATATATATATATATATATATATATATATATATATATATATTAGTGGCAGCAAAAATAATTTCATTTAAAATCCTCTACAAATAACTATCAAAAGACATAAAAAAAATAAAAACTAAATAAAACTAGTCTCTTAAAGTTTATTCTAAATAAATTATCAAAAATATCTAGATTTAAATGATATCCATTTTTTGAAATAGAATTTTTTTTCAGAAAATTTAATATGCTAGTCAGGTTTTGAGGATAAAATGCACAACAATTGTGGGAGAGTGGCTGAGCTTATATTGTTTGTTGATTTATCACTGTTATTTTGATGGATTAATGCAACATTGTACGCGTTAGTCATCGCGTAAACATTGTCAAGTTATTACATGTCTACGTGACAGCTAACATTATGTCTACATGACAAGTAAACACGTACAATGATATATCAGTTCACCAAAAAATTAATAATAACCTCCCTCCCCCTCCACCTTCCTAAAGTAGGTAATTTTCAAATTATAGTCGGCTTTTTGACGGGTTTTTTTTTTTTTTTAGGAAGCAGACGGTACTTTTTAAGGATTTACCTCTCCTCCCCCATCATTTTATTTGTAGAATTGCCTCTGGCTGGAATTGTTGGTTAGAAATGTAAAAATTGAAAAAATATATACGAAGTACCCACAAATATAAAGCCAATGAATAAATCTAATAAATCAACTTGTTGAAAAGTTTTGATCAATTTTGAGTGTTTTCTTTCATATATTTCTATTAAAAAATGGCTTTTTTGCCGTTTATTAAAATTTACAAAAAGAAAAATTGTGTTAAAAGAGCAAGTGCAAGAAGAAGACACACTTTCTTATAATCAAGTCCAGTAATAAAAATTAAGTAAGTATTAAAATACTTGTAAACAAGT